GGCGATATCCACGGGAGAGATGTACCTTGACCATTGACCAAAGGCACTGACATGATGAAAAATGGCCAAGTTTTCTGGTTGGTGGTTTCAAACATGCTTATGTTCCATAATATCTGGGTAAATTCTAACGACCTCACTGCGACCGAGCCCTGGAAATCATGGTTAATAAGGGAAATCATCCCCAGATGGTCTTAATTCAGGTTCGTGAAATATTATAATTTACCCAGATAATATATGGGATGTAATCCTTCCCATTGACGAACTCCATGATTTTTCAGAGGGGTTGAAACATACCACCAAGCAGATTTATTTTCCCAGCGACCAAACACATCAAAACACCTTTCCTGGTTGCGTTTTTTGGGATCACAATGCCTCGTTGTGACCTTTCTTGTTCTGGCCTTATGGGGATAGATTCATCAAAAAGAAAACTTACTTTCACAAAAATGGTGCTTCCATTCTGATGCTGCGGGATTAGGTTTTCATGAATGAGTTGAATATCCCTATGGACAGTGAAACCACACCAACATATTTTTGTCAGAGAGTGACGACTCTAATTACTTGATTGCTACATCTTCATGTTTGCTGGCTATACTATATCTTCAACACAATGTTCCTTGAACCCCATGTTTCACTACAAACACCTCACTTTCAAGCGGCGCTTTGTTGCTGTTAAGAAAAGAATAAAGATATGATATATGGGTATGGGTCAATACCTATAGATACATTTTTAGTGGGATGAACATCCATTTACCAGCTATTTTGGGGTTCACTAGGTACCAGGGTTTTGATCCATAGCCATATATTACACTGGGCATTGGTCACCATTGATGCTTCCCGTTGGTCACCCAGATGGTCGATCTCGCCGTCAGGGATCCGATGGCACCCCCACCACCGAGTTTGAGCTGCGAAGCCTTTCTGGATTCCAGCCTGGGGTTGTCTGGCCGCCCAGTGGTCCCTTGATGCCCCTTGTTGCGGCAGACTTTACTAACCATGGAGCAGGAGAAAAAAAATGAAGAAATCGAAGAGCTATGAATTTGGGTTAGGTACTTAAGGTCCAAACATGGGTCTATAAAGTATCGAATGACTTGGTGTTTAGGCGCGAAAGCCGCCCTTTGTCGTTAGAAATTGGAGTAAGACACAAGTCCAGACATTCGTCGAAGATTGTGGTTGTGGAGTTGTTTCATCTTTCATTTTTACATGTACATATCATTGCATTTCCAGACAATGTCCCGAAGGACCCGCATTTTTCTTCCCCCGTTGTCAGAGGTGCGTAAATGTCCCGCTTTGGGGGATTTTGAACATCACCTTAAATGTATTTGTTGGAGATTACATCCCCACTAGTTGGGTGATGTGACAACTTGGGACATTTACTAACTCCTGCATGGAATATACTTCTATCCCATCCCATTACATTGCTTCATACATATTCCTATGGGGTACTTCATAATCCCCAATAAGCCAGTTTCTAGCCCCCAACAAACTTAAGGGCAACTTTCCCCTTTACAAAGCGCGTTTCAAGTTGAGTCTGTCGCCGAGGAATGGACGGTTGGTCTTGCGACTGCGTGCAGACCAAGGATTGGTGGTACCTTGGTCGAACAAAAACCAGGCTGTCGCCACAAGAAAACCACGGTTGGAGATGGTTGGTGTTTTCCATGTGTTTTCCAATGTGTGTCATATGAAATGTCACTATCATGATTATATTATCATTCTTGAGATCATTGTTGTGATTATTTAGTTCTTATGCTTATCAGTATTGTCACTAAGATCATCATTATTTATCCTGTAATGAGCAATGATATGTTGTTAGGATTGGAACGAACACAGCAACCTGTGAATTCAATTGTGCCAGCATGGTCCGTGTTGATACGACAACTATTTACAGTAGCTACTGTACAGTTGAACTGACTTGTTGATCAAAAATACTGTGCTATCGTCAGTTATTACCTACAAAGTGTTCCCCACACCCCCCAGTCTTGAGTTCTTGATAAATAATAAACCCATTCAACTCGATGAGAATCCATCATAGATCCTAGTTATCGATAGTTATCGTACTTCTGAAGCAACAGACACCTATTAAAAGGATTCAAAAGGGAGGACCACACCACGATGATTGATTACTTATTACCATTGACTACCGAAAATCAAACACCATATTGCAATGTTTTAGCCATTGTATTGCTACTTCGTATTGCAATTATTACAATGATATGACCTTATTCTCCACGTAATATGTACCAGATTTTACCATAATCATACTATACTTACATTGTCATACATTGTCAATCTTGCAATATCACCTAATCATGACCTAATCATACTATAATATGACCAGAATCATAACTATGTCATGCTATACTATATCATACCATACCATACCATACTATACTATACTATACTATACTTACATGGTCAATCTTGTAAAATCACCTAACATTGACCAGTTGAGTCTCCACGTTCTGCATTCTTCGCTCTTAGCGAGGCTGCGCACCATGCATTCGCGGTGTTGTCAGAGAATCCACAGGCGGCTGCGAAAAACACAGAGATCTCGAACGGAAATGTCGAGAAATGTGGGTAAAACAATAATAAACCATTCCCCAGTCAGCACCATTTTGATAGGTGGTATGTAAAAACCATTCCCAGTCATGGGTGGTATGTTTATTTTTCCCTCATTACATAGAGTTCCACAGCAAAAGGCCGTTTTTTGGCATGATTCATTGTTTTATATTGTGTTATTTTGGTGAAGATATAATATAATCCTTTCTTTTGGAGGCCAATGGCAATAATGGCGGATTGTCATGTCCTACAGTGAAACAGTGTATGAATGGGGTTAATGTCCGCCATGGATGTTTAATTCGTCATTATATAGATGCGCATGTGCCGGTCCGAGAGCTTGTCGCTTTCGTAAAAAGAGTGGTGTCTAGCGACCTGGCGACTTGGCCAGCACATCGCGCTAGAGATTTTGGAGAAAAAGAAGCTGGTTCTATACAGACCCTAAACAAGAGATCAAGAAAAATATGGGTTTGAATGCTCAGTACCCCAAATTTTCTGGTCACCAAGCCTCACTTTCAGAGGCAAAAGGTCACAGCTGTTGAAACCAGGTGGTCTAACTTTGGATCCAACGTGGTTTCCGGTTTGATCCAGTTCGATCCAGTTCGATCCAAAGATGGGCATCACATCCGCCCAGTCAACGTTGCTGAATTACCCCGTCACCGGCACGGGGAACTTGGATTGTGGCACCTTGGTGACCTTGGAGCCTTTGGTGGTACCCCAGTTCGGAATCGCTAAGTTAGTTGAGAGCCTTGCTTGTAGGTTCACTGGGCTTCATGATGATTTTGATTATACCCATAGATGGATTGGATGGGTGTATAAACCACCAGTTTGATCCAGTTTGTGCCAGGATCAAGTTACATTATTTATTTTTGCAAATATAAGGGGCTGGACACCCCCATATGTCCATAAACATTGCAATTAAGAAACACCCTAAATGACTGTGGAATGACCATACCGCATATACATGCATATACCATGTTGTTGAGTATCATACAAGTGGGAGTTTGCTTGAATTGGGGACTCCCAGAACTTTTTTCCCACTAAAAGTAGACGGTTTTAGGTATTTCATTGCCTGCCATAAATTCAGGAAACCACCAGTGATTGGGGATGATGAACATTCGATTTGAAATTGATTTGACGTGTCATCACGGTGCCAGGATTTTCTTCTACCGTCATTTAGTCATTTATGGCAAACGGGTATAAGACAACATCGAAGGTCCTGGCACAGATTTAAGCCTCATTTCGGGCAATGAGAAAACCGTCCCTTTTGGAATGACAAAACACAGACTCAAATAATATCCAAGAATGGTCCATGACAATTCGGCCGCGGCACAGTGGCCACAATGGGGGAAATGTGTGATTTGTTGCTCTCGATTTTACCAAAATTGTGACCTTTTTTTTGTTCAAAAAAATCACCCAATTTTCGCGAGCTAAGGCACCTTGATTTGTTGGGTCTTCGAGAGTTTCCAATTCATGGCCAACATCACCAATCCGTCGTGGCTTGGTGATGTGGATGGGTCGTGTGTCGAGGCCGTTACCGGCTTCGGGTTACTTCGGCTTTTTGTCATTGGATATACAGAAGATGGGTTATCTGAAAATGGGGGCGGAGAAGTTATAAAAGCCAAATTGTCATGTTCATAGATATTTTATTGTGTTAATATGTGTTAATAGGGAACAAATAGGGAATATTAATGGGAATATATATTGATTAGGCAGTGGATGGTGATGGAATGAGGTACTCCATTTTTGGACGAGCTCATGACTTGCAGTATTGATGCACTGTACCAAGTATACAGCCCACGTAGACATAACATAGTGTAAATACCTTCAGGTTCAGCTTTCATTGGCTTAGCCAGTTTGGACCCTTGTGGACAACAATGGACAACATGTTCTGGCAAAGAGAACAACATGCAGACTATTTACTGGTTTCTTTTTTTGTTCCATAAATTGCCACATACCGATTTGTCGTGCTTGGTATGGTATATTGTATGCTTGACATTGCTTCAATTTGCATTTGCTTAACTGTGGGTATGCATCTCAACTTTCATTTGTTACATCTTGCTGGTATCCTCAGGCTTGTGTCCGACCAGTCCTAGTTGTCATTAATTTATTAATTAGTTTAAAGTGCAAGTCCTGGTTGACAACCTACGATAGCAATGCCTACAGGTAAGCAGGATGGCTTGCTCAGAATGGTGACTTGCCTCTGGTAGTCAAACATGGCTTGCTGGAAAATCATTCATGGCTAGTTCGATGATGACTTCCTAGCGAACTAAACATTCATGGCATTCGTGGCTTGGGTTTCCCAGCCATCTTCGATCATACAGTAGTATCATATATACATTATATACATTCATGAAAATATCCCATGATATCTGTCCCCATGAAATCCCAGTAATATTGTTGTTTAAATCACCCGGTCATCAACACTTTAAAAAAGGCCCTGCGCTGAGGAGCGTTCGCCTGGACTACTCCACGGCAGCCCAGGGCTTTGACATCACTCGACAGATGTTGGAGGTCCCGCCTGGGCGTTTTTTGCGGTGAAAATTCTGGGAAGTTTGGTGAGAAATATCTAGCTATGGCTTAAAGATGCTTAAAGATGCTTAAAGTATGATAGTAAAGTATGATAGTAAAGTGTGATATCAACGCATGATCTCATATGTGTATTCTTTTGTATTCGGTCATGGTTCAAAGTGAATGGGCCGGTGCCACGGCGAGTGGGTTCGGATACGTACATGAAACCTTGGCTTGAAAGTAAGCGCCTACAAATCATGATAAGAGTATGGTTGAAGATTCCGCTTCTTGGACATCCTGCTTTTCAAAGCATGCATTACTAGACTTGATGTCTTCACATGCGGTGATATACCATCCTGCTACATATCATCAAATTGATGATTCGCCAACATCAAATCTGGATATCCCCATTCCATACACATCCATAGTCCATACAATTCCATATTGGGGATTCCATAAATGTGGGTACACCCCTAAATCATCCATTTTGATGGGATTTTCCATGAAATAAACCATCCAGCTATTAGAGTACCCCCCATGACTATGGAAACCCCCATATCAAACCATTATGAATCCACAATATAATATATTATTTACTATACACAATATAATGATCCATTTACTATAGTTATCCATTATTAATCCATAATATTCCCATTTTATAGCCATTTGACATGTTATCGTTATGCTTTCCATCATCAAACAGCCCTTTTTAGTCACGTTGTGCGTTGCGCGCAGGCGCGGATCCCCACCTTGACCGAGGAACAAAGGTGCGGTGCTTTATCAACGACAACGGGGCGGATTGGCAGATGGGATCCAATGCTGATTGATATATCTGATAAAGTTAAGGGATATGATGTGATCATAGATATGTATATATAGATAGTATATATTGTATTTTGCATATATATATATACAGATTATAATATAAAATATATATATATATATATGCGTGTACAGTATATGATACAAGTATGTGTATATATATATATATGTATATATATATATGTATATATATATATATATGTGCGTGTACAGTATATGATATAGTATACGATATAAGTATATCAGATTTTGTGGTCACATAGTATATTTGATAAATGCTGAGATTTGATTTTACATGGTTTTACTTTGTTACCCAGCAGTTTAGCACCAAATCTGGAAGATTTCAGGAACCGGTTTTACCTTGGATGATGATTCTAGTTGACGCGTATATTCCTGTGATGGATTGACACCACCAGCAGAGAGATGTCAAACATTGTCAAATCGAAGCACGTTGAAGTGGCAGAAGCAACTGTTTGGTGGCTTCAGATGTTTCTATGATTTTGTTTAGTTGTTTCCTTCCTAAATTGCAAAGGATCATCAAGTCCACAAGCCAATCAATCCCGTCGCAATTTTGGTCAAAAACAGTTTCTGCTTGGAAGTTGTTAATGTGAAAATTGGTTATGAGAGTCTCTGTAAGATTGAAAAGAACATGGAGTTGCGTGGGTCCCAGAAAGAATCCTAAGATCCTTAGCGGCTAGATTATGATCCTAGCTGCTAGATTGATGGCCAGTCTGTCAATCTAGCCATACTGGTACCATACTATTTTGGTTGCAGCTACTCATCATCCTGAAGTAGATAGAATATGGATGAATATGTTTTTTTCAAAATCAAAAAAATAGTGCAGATGTAAAATCCATATTCATCATGTTCTATTTTTTCTCCAGGATTTTGTTCATTCGTTTGATGGCCGTGAAGTTTTTCGTGCCAGGCTGGGCACTGGTCGCGACGACCGGCCCGGGCAAGCGAACACTTTGATCTTTGCCATCAAACTGAGCCGCCCGGTGGAGCACTGGGCACCGCGTTTTTTTTGGGGGGGAGATACGGAGAACGTGGTGATGTCAAACAGGTGTAACATTTTTTTTGCCAGCTGAAAATTGGGTAACATGTTTTTTGGAGTGTTGGGTCAATAGTCAACATATAAGTTTTAGTTCGTGCTTTTAAGATTTCAACCAGCCTTAAAATTGTAAAGATCTAAACCATGATTACAGATGTTGAGCAATGAACATGAGCATTGAAGCATGCTGCACGGAATTTTAATGGGGGATGAAACGGCCAACATGGGCTGAACACTGAAGCATCAGCATCCATCAGCGGATCATGTAGGACACAGCCAAGATTTCTGGAAACATAGCGATTGTTAAGGAACTGCATATGGATGTGGGTCAAAATGGAAGACCTAGGGAACCACAGATGTTAGTCTAGTTTAGTATTAACCATCCATAATTTTGGGGTACCTAATTTTGACCCATACCCATATAACCTGCCAAGAATATTAATGTAACATGCCATACCAGTGTTCGTGGCACATTGCCCGAACCATTGTTAGGTGGCATTGCCATTGTTCCTTTCCATGCCGGAAGTTCAAACTTGACAGTTGAATTAGAAATGCTACTGGAATGGTTTGATGCTGAATATGACTAGTAGTTGTCATATTTCACTCACTGTTGGGCAAATTGGAGACTTCCTCACCATCTATCTTGAGCGTCTACTTGGATCAGATTTCCAGACATTTTGCCTCTGTCTGTTGCAAAAAACAAAACAGCTTAAAGCTCAACCCAAGCTGGTCGATCTCGGCAGGGAAACCAGCCACAGTGTTCACCTGGTTTGAGACGCAAGGCGTCTCAAGCAGAATTGGAGTTTTCAGCACCAAACTGGAAATGTTCCATGTTTCGGGTCCAACCAGTCTTTTGTTCCTAACAGATACAATATAGCCACGTGTGTATCTTTGTATGTATGTATGTAATGTTATGTTATGTTATGTTATGTTATGTTGTGTTATGTAATGTATGTAATGTATGTAATGTATGTAATGTATGTAATGTATGTAATGTATGTAATGTAATGTAATGTAATGTAATGTAATGTAATGTTATGTATGTATGTAATGTATGTATGTAATGTATGTATGTATGTAATGTAATGTAATGTAATGTAATGTAATGTAAGTAATGTATGTAATGTTAAGGTAATGTAATGTAATGTAATGTTAATGTAATGCT